TTGAGCCCGCAACCCAGGCATGTGTCCTGACTGGGAATTGAACCAGGATCTCCTGGATCATAGGTTGGTGCTCAGTTGCTGAGCCACGCTGGCCAGGCTGAAGAAGACTTAACATTGAAAGTTGCAAGATCTAGAATGAGTTACTGAAAGAGGTGAGATCTGTTTTCCTAGAGCTAGAAATAGCTGTCTGGTGGTTTTTAGGCATTTATTTGGCCAACATTTACTGAATGCCCACCCTGTGGTGGCATGGCTCCAGGCCTAGGCAGGCTGGCTATATAGAAAAATGACCTAGAGATTCTGTATCTGACATCTGCACGAATTGGTAAGGAAGGGGATCACCTGATGGTAAACAGGATCAATAAAATAAACAGATTTAAACAATCACAAACACTTCCCCCCCCCCCAGAAGAAATGTATGCTTTGGTAATGAAAAACTTGTTTGTTGCAAAACACATGTTTGGCATTGTCCAACTAGGTGGCATTTTATCTTAAGACCTTTAACAAATTACTTTTTTACCTTTTTTATCCTAGGCAATTTTGGGATGATACTGTGGTTTCTGGGATGATGGTGTGGAAATGAGTTAGGTAATATTGTATAATATCTTTGTTTAAAGAAAATTAGTACTACTTTTTGCTCTCATGATTACATAAGATTCATATAATCTCTCTGTTTATAAAGAACTTTCACTTATATATAGTCATTTCTTCAAGTGCCTAGGAAGCTAGCTTATAATTGAATTTTCTTTTTGCATGTTGGAAAACAGCAGCTTGGAGAAGGTGTTTTCTTTCAGGGCAAGTGTGATGGGTTTGGGAGTTGGGGAAGGGGTGGAAGTAGAGGTTGGAGACAGGCAGACCATTTAATTTGGCTGTTGCTGTTGTCCCTCAGAAGAAACCAAGGCTTTGGACAAAAGCAGTGGCATTGCAGACGGAGAGGACCAGAATGTTGGGAACTAAAACCTTGTTAAATGTGGTGGACAGGAGAGGGAGGAATAAAGGTTGACCAATTCTGAGATCTTCATTTATTTCTGCTTAGGTGACGTAACCGCTATAAAGAAATAAAAATACATAGGTACTGTGTAGTTGTTATATCGTTATATTTGAGGCAAAGTCAACAATGTCTGCAGCTAGGAGATTAGAATTAGAATTTGAATGGTGCTTTGACTTCCTTTGGGAGTGTTATGAACCATTGTATTTCCTTTTAGAAATGAAGTTGCTGCTGCACATGGAAGATAGAAATAGACTGCCATAGAGGCAAAGAATGATAAATGTTTGTCCTGAATGCTCAAGATTTTTAATCATAGCCTCAGATCTCTTTCCATGTAAACTTTGTGTCTAAATTATTGAATCTGGAGTAGCTATACTCACATTTTATAATAGATAATTTCTGTAGTGATGGGACAGGGACAGTGCTCTATAGCAATTCTTTTAAGAGTAGTATATTCATTTCATAGTGGTCAGAAGTTTTTTTTTGTTGTTGTTTTGTTTTTTTATCACAAGAGGGTGTCTGTAGAGTTCTGAGCATAGTAGTCAGAAGCCAGTGTCATGGGCTGGGTCCAGTTTTGGGTTTATGTGGCCTCTGTGGTAAGCAGATAAGCTGGTGATGTTTTGTGGTGACAGTGGCTTTCAAGAGTAAATACTGCCACCTCCTTTTAATTCTTGCATCATTGGTAAGGACTTACAGTAACTTGCTGTGGAATTATTTCAGACATTTAAATGCGGTCAAGGTCAAGGTTGGTTCATTTTGCTCTACCACAAGACTTCCTTTTCAGCTGACTTCTTTGATTTTAAGTCTGAAATAGACTTTTAAAAAAGCCAAAGGATTCTTTTAAAAAATATCTTAAAATAATAACTGGATCCTTTGAATTTATCAAACTGATTACTTTTAGAATAGATAAGAACAAATGATTGATGTTTGTTTACAAGTTTTTTCAGTTCCATCTGCAAATGTGCAGTTGAGAACTATATTAACGGAAGCAAAATTGTTCATTAACTTTGCATTTTGATTCTGTTTAGTAGTTTGGAATGCTGACCTTTAGGACAGATAGAACTAACTAGGTTTATGAAACATTTGGTACATTTGACTCTAAAGTGCTTTTTCACTGACTTCCTATTTCAGAGCAAGTCAGTGACGTAACAGAAAGTCGAGAAGTTAATTCTGAATTTAATTGGCTTACCTTTCTCTATTTTTAAAAAGTATTTAATCTGTTTTAAATTTTATGTATAGAGAACACTGAATGCTTACAAAAGTAGACAGAATGATGTAGCGAATCCCTATCACCTATTGCCCAGTTTCAAACATGGACCGTCCTCCCAAACATGGACTGTATTAGTTTGATGCAGATCTTAGACATCCTGTCATCTGTGAGGTGTTTTCATTTTTAGGTGGAAAGAATATGACTGTGCTCACTGATTCACTGGGGGCTGGACATTGGAAATGGACAGGCACTGAGGAAGCCTAGGGCTTGGTGGTAGGGCTACTGCCAACATGAGTTATTTTGAATTCCTGCAGCTTTTAGTAAGATCTGATGAGTGTTTCTTCTAAAGTGCAGCATAGACTTTGTGTGCTGTTTCGAAAATATTAATTAGCACTCTACCATCTTCCAAAAAGACATTGAGATAACTTAAAAATATATTTATATATAATAAGATTTAAAAAAAGAGGAAGAAATCAGTGCAAAGGGTGAATTAGGGTCATCTTGTAATATAAAGCCACTTACAGAAACTATAAGACAGGCATGATGCAAGACCTTATACAGTGATCAGCGGTGTGCTGTGGAATATTCTAGTGGTCAAAGTCACAAGGAAACACAATCAGTTTTATCCTTCAGATTTTTTCTATCACTGAAGACAGATTTTCTTCATGGGATCTCCTAAAAGGAGCCATTGGGGCAGCAGTTGGAGGTGGTGGAGTAACTTGGTCTCTGAGCAGATGGTTGTCTGGCTAGCCCAGAGTATTTTGTTGTTGTTGTTAATCCTCACATGAGGATACTTTTTCCTTGCTTTTCAGAGAGTATGAAAGGGATGGGGGGAAAGAGGGAGAGAGAGAGAGAGAGAAACATTGATGTGAGAGAGACACATTGACTGGTTGCCTCCTACACATGCCTGGACAGAGGGTGGGGAACGAACTGCAACCTGGGTACATGCCCTTGACCAGAACTCAAACCCAGGACCCTTTGGTGCATGGGCTGGTGCTCAGTCACTGAGCCACATTGGCCAGGGCCCCAGAGTACTTTTTTGACTTGTATTTGGAGTTTACAGATACAATAACCTGCAGTAGGTATAATTTATTGAACTCTGTTATATATCAGGCATTGTGCCAGGTGGTTTTATTTCATTTAATCTTTAATACATTCCTGCTCCATAGATTCTACTTTTCCCCTTTGTCAGGTGAGGAAATTGAAATTCAGAGAAATAACTTGAAGTTATGCAGTGGTTTGTATTCAGTGTGCTAAAATATTTGACATACAGACACATGATTATTGATTTATTTTTTGTAGGTGTATGTCTTAGAATATGTATCTACTTTTTTGGGGGGGAAAAAAAGACTGGCTAGTTTTTAGATCATTGTCTGACTGGAAATATAATCACTTTAGAGAAAACAGGGTTGTGGGCCATGGTTTGCAATGAACCTTTTTATCCATGCTACACATTCATGATTGTGGTGCTGTTATTTTCATTGCACATTGCCATTTCTGGCTTTCATTCTTTTTATTTTAATGCAGAGAGAAAAGGAGCAGCAGGAAGAGAAAACTGGTTTGTTGAGGAAAACAGTGAAGAATGAAGCCAGTGAAAGAAGAGCTATGATAACTCCTGCTCTCCGAGAAGCCCTTACTAAACAAGGTGAAAGACCTCAAGAATTGTTGTAATACCAAGCTTTAAGCATTCTAATTTAATACCTAAAAGTGGAAGCATAAAAATAGGGATTGCCAAGGGGAAAGTAGGTAATGTAGTCCTTCTCTAGCCCAGTGTCTGTGTTACTGTGCCAGCTGTAGCTATCTAGGGAGGCACTGTCTTGGTCCTGTGGATCACTTGTGTGTTGGCTGCCTGGCCAGCACATTCCTCTTTGCTTAATTTATTGGGATGTTAGCATCTGTGTGCCTCAGGTATGCAGATAGAAAATGCCATCACTGGCTTCTCTACAAATCACTGTTTATTAAGAGAAAATTATTAAATACAGGAAAAACAACAACACATTGATATTATGCTCGGTTAATTAGAAGTGTTTTATCTAGAAGTATATCTGGATTTTTGTAGTCTTACCTTTTTAAAGAGGCTATAGTTGAATGTACAAATAATATTGGTTTTCTACAGAAGAAAGAGGAGAATTGTGATTCAATAGACTGACTTCCTTCCTTCCCCCCCTCCTTCTTTCTGTATTTATTGAGAACCTTTTATGTGACAGTTATGGCAATGCAGAGGAACATAATACAGTATCTCCTTCAAGGCACTGCCAGCCCATTAGAGGAGACAAACAAGAATATATAGATTTTATGTATAAAATATATGTTAAATATTATACATAAATATTGTTATGTATAAAATATATATGTGTCTTAATTTGGGTATATAGACTATTTAAAGTGACTTTATGGTAGGTTCAAATCTATCATGTTGCTATTCATTTTCTACTTGTCTTGTGTTCTTTGATTTTCTTTTCCTGTTCTTTTGCCTTTTAAATAATTTTTAAATAATTCTGTTTTATATCCTTTGTTATTAGCTATTGCACTGTTTTGTTATTTAGTGGTTGCTTGAGGTTTTATACTATATCTCTTTATCATAACATAGTATGTCTTTGTGTGATGGTATACCACTTCATGTATAGTAGAGCAACCTTCAATAGTATACTTCTATTTTTTCCTTCTCAACCTCTATGTAATTGTTACCATCCATTTTACATTTTTACATATGTTATAAACTGTATACCACATTGTATTATTTATTTTGGCTTAGTCAATTATCTACTAAATATTTAAATAATAGTAACAATTATATATTGTCTTACGTACTTACCACTTTTGGAACTTTTCATTTCTTTGTGTAGATCTGAGTTTTCTCTGATAGCCTTTTTCCTTCTGCCTGAAGGACTTATTTTAGTATTTTTTGTAGTGTGGATTTGTTGGTGATGAATTATTTCAGCCTTTGTATATCTCAAAAGACTTGACTTTGCTTTCATTTTTGAAGGTATTTTTAATGGATGTAGAATTGTAGGTTGACAGCTTTTTTTCCTGTCATGTTGCTCCACTGTTTGTTTACATTGCTTCTGATGAGAGCTCTGCAGTCATCTTTTGTTTGAACCTTTGAATATAATATTTTTAACCTCCTAGCTACTTGTAAGATTTTCTTTTAATTACTGATTTTGAGCAATTTAATTATGTATCTCAATGTAGTTTTCTTTATGTTTCTTTCACTTGGGATTTGTTGAACCTCTTGGTTCTATGGATTTTTAGTTTTTGTTAAATTTGGACAAATTTTGGTCATTACTTCTTCAAATATTTTTTGGCTCCTCTTCTCTCCTCTTCCTTGGGAATTCCAAATACATGTATTATAAGCTACTTGAAATTGACCCACAGCTCACTGATCCTCTTTTCATCTTTAAAAAAATTTTTTTAAAATTGATTTTTAGAGAGCGAGGAAGGGAGACGGGGAGGGAGGAACATTGATATGAGAGTGAAACATCGATCTGCCTCCTGCACTCCCCCTACTGGGGATCGAGCCTGCAACCTGGGCGTCAAGCCGACAACCTGGGCCTGTGTCTTGACCGGAAATTGAACTGGTGACCTTTTGGTGTACTGGCCGAAGCCCAACCAACTGAGCCACATTGGCCAGGGCTGCTCTTTTCATCTTTTAAAATTACTTTTTTCTGTCCCACTTTATATTTTTGGATATTTTCTATTGCTGGGTCTCCAGATTTAATTTAGTAATCATTTCTTCCCTAATGTCTAATCTTCCATTAATTCTATCCAGTGTATTTTTTAACTTAGACATTGTAGTTTTCATTTCTAGAAGTTCAGTTTGGGTCTTTTTATATCTTTTATGTCTCCACTTAATTTTTCAAGCCTAGGGAATATAGCTATAACTGTTTTAATGTCCTAATCTGCTAACATGTGGACCATTTCTGGGTTAGGTTCGGTTGCTGGATTATTTTCCTCATCATTGGTCATGTTTTCCTATATGTTTACATGTTTGGTAATCTTTTATTGGAAGCTAAATCTAATTTTACCTTATTGGTGCTAGATAGTTTTGTATTTCTATAAACATTCTTGAGCTTTGTTCTGGGACTAAGATAAGTTACTTGGAAACAGTTTTGAGCCTTTTAATCTTTTATGATTTGTTGGGTGAGACGAGACCCAGCCAAGTATACAGCTAATTATTTCCCTCTATTGAGGCAAAATACTTCTGTGTACTCTGCCCAATGCCTTGTGAATGTTGAGGCTTTTCTGTCTGGCTGGCAGCAACAGGCACAGTCCCCAGCTGGCTGTGAGCACCAGGCATACCTCTAATCCTGTCAGATGATTCTTTCCCATTCTTGGGTAGTTTTCTTTCACATATACACTAAGCAGTACTCACCAAATATTATAGGAATCTTCTGTAGACTCTTGAGTTCAATCTCTGTAGCTTTTATCTTTCAGGTTCTCAATCCTCCTAACTCTAGGTGTGTGGACGCCTCATACTCTCACTTCCGAGTCTTCAACTAAGGGAGTACACTGAGCTTTATGTGGGTTTCCTCCTTGCTGAAGGGCCTGGAAACTTCTAAGGCAGTAAGCTTGGGCAATGGTTGGGCAATGGTTGAGATGTTTGGTTCCCATCTCTCTGGGATCATTATTCTTTGTTGCCCGATGTTCCTTATCTTGAAAACTGTTGTTTTATATTTTTTATCCAGTTTTTGGTATTTCAGGTGGGAGAGTAAACTGTTTTCCATCTTCTTTAGAGGCAGAATTCTGCACTATGATTTTCAGCAGCTGCATACTGTTGGCTCATCTTGGCATTGTGGTCAGCCACAGGTTTCTCCTTTCTGCACTGTGCAGTTTTTTTCATACCTACCTGACTGCAAAGTTTTGTAGAACCCTATATGTCTTGGGAGAGAACGATATAAAGAAATAGTGTAATATAGAGTGTGGTTTCTATAATAGTGATATGAACAACACTTAATGTAGGAATCTAAAAGAAGACATAGGATTTTCTCTGGGAATCTTTTAAATGTTAATTCTCTATCTGAGATTAGCTCTTTAGCTGGACTCGGTTCGTCTTCAACTAGATAAGCATTGCTCTATTTATCTCTCTCAGGATGTGTACATAAGTGTGGGGGATAAAGAGAAAGCCCTGTGATGCTGCCACTGGGGATTTGTAATCCAAACTGATGTCGTCCCATTTACTGTCAGACTGTGAATATGGGTGATTAACCAACCACTGGCCACTTATGCCACCGTCCAGACTGTTTCTCCACTTACCTCATTTGTCTGGAAGTTGAGTCTTTGTGCAAGAGACTCCTGATAATTATGGCTTATTACTTGAAGCCTCATGACAAGCTTTATTAAATGTTTTCTGAAATCAGAATGCTCTTCTAGTTTGCTCTACTAGTTTGTTAAAAGAGGAAAGAATTATTACTTTGGCATGGCTTTTCCATGCTTTTCATGTCTTATGTGGCTCAAAAGTTTTAAATGATAGGTTGTAGAATGGTGCTGAGAATTCATGTTAGGTTGTAGGTCCTAGAATTTGATTTTTCCACTTTGGGGGGCAATATTTCTCTTATTTTAATCTCCTGTTGCCTCTCTGATTCTCCATTTCAAATATATTGTTACTTGCTTTTACTTTATCGCCCAGCATATGGTTCATTTTTGTAGCGGTTCCTTGCGTCTTTGAAAAGCATTTCTGTAGTGTTGAGTGCAGTGCTGTGTGTTCTTGATTACATTTGCTGTGTTGCTCAGATCTTAGAGCTCTCCTGAGTTTGGTCTATGAGATCTGTTAGGCACTGAGAGATGTTAAAATCCCTCCCTATGATTTTGATCAGTCTATTGTTTCTTTATATATTTTGAGTGTATGTTATTAGATGCATACACATTTTGAATTGTTTTATCCTGTTGCATTAAACTTTTAATATTTTCTGCCATTGGGTTGTTGTCTATCATGATTNTTGAATTGTTTTATCCTGTTGCATTAAACTTTTAATATTTTCTGCCATTGAGTTGTTGTCTATCATGATTAAGCAAAGAAAANTACACATTTTGAATTGTTTTATCCTGTTGCATTAAACTTTTAATATTTTCTGCCATTGGGTTGTTGTCTATCATGATTAAGATTTTGCTTGTTTTATAAGCACTTTTTGATATGAGGCTTTGAATCATTTCAATTTTGTTTTCCCTCTTTTTCCATTTAGGTTATCAGTTGATTGGGAGCCATTCTGGGGTGAAGCTTTGCAGGTGGACAAAGGTATTTGTTTTTATGAGCTTTTTGTGTGGCGATTATATGCAGTCAATGAATTTTACCATTTTAAAAGTATAATTTACATTTAATAAGGTGTAATGATTTTGAATGAATTTTTTAAATGAGTTTAGAAAATTTTTATGGATGTAAAAAACCCTTATCCATCAATCCAAAATAAAAACAGAGGCATGGATACATGGAACAGACTGATAGCTTGCTGTCACAGAGGAGTGGGGCNAAAATTTTTATGGATGTAAAAAACCCTTATCCATCAATCCAAAATAAAAACAGAGGCATGGATACATGGAACAGACTGATAGCTTGCTGTCAGAGAGGAGTGGGGCGGGGGGTACTGGATGAAAGAAAGTGAAGGGATTAGCCAAAGAATATATATGCATAACCCATAGACACAACAGTGTGGTGATGGCCAGAGGGAAGGGGAGGGGGCAGGGGCTAGGTGGAGATGGGCAAAGGGGAGAAAACAGAGACATCAATAATAGTGTCAACAATAAAAATAAAGATTAAAAAAAAGATATAGACTATTTTCCTCACCCCGTAAGTTTACTTGTGCCTATTTCTAGTCAATACCCCCTCCTCCATAGCCAGGAAACAGTTGTTCTAGTTGCTTACTGCAATTTAATTTTGCCTTTTCTAGAATTTCATATGAATGAAATTATATAATGTGTAGTTTTTTTGCCAAGTAGCTTCTTAAACTCGACATGATGTATCCTAGATTTGTTCATGTTGTAGCGTGTATCAGTTCATTCCTTTCTGTTGCTGAGTACTATTCAGTGGCACGAACATACCAGGTTTTAGTGTGTTGGTAGACAGTTGGGTTGTTTTCCAGTTTTTGGCTATTAATGAATAAAACTGCTATGAACATTCTTGCACAGTGCTTTTTTGTGAACATATTTTTTAATTTCCTTGGGTGCATACGTAGGAGTGGGATTACTAGATATATATATTTAACTTTATAAGAAACTCCGATCTGTTTTCAGTGTGGTTGTACTGTTTTGTACTTGCACCAACAATTTATGAAAGTTCCAGTTGCTCCATATTCTCACCATCACGTGGTATTGCAGGTCTTTTTAGTTTTAGCCATTCTAGTGAGCCTGAAGTGGTACCATTGTGGTTTTAATTTGCACATTGCTGAGGACTGTTGATGACTAGGAGCATTTTTAAATGTGCATATTGGTCATTCATATTTGTGAAGTGTCTGTTCAGATCTTTTGCCCAAATTGTGTTACTTGACTTTATATTATTGATTTGTAGGAGTTCTTTATATATTGTGGATTTGAGTCTTTTGTCTGATGTGCATTGGGAATATTTTCTCTTAGTCTGTGGCTTCTTTTTTTATTTCCCTAATGGTATCTTTTGAAGTTTTTAATTTGAATAAAGTTCAATTTATCATTTTTTTCTTTTATGGGTAGTGCTTTTTGTATATTGTTGATGTAAGAATGTCTACACCTTTAGAGAATTTTTATAAAAATTTATTTGAGCCCAATAGAGGATATGCCTAGAAGCAAGAGCTCAACAGACTAAGAAAAATGCTTCCCAGAATGGCAGCTTCTTTGATGCATTTGAAATTAAGGAGGGAATTTAAGGAAGTTTTTGATTCATCTTGAATTAAATTTTGTGAATGCTGTAATGTACAGGTGAAGATTCGTTTCTTCCTGCCCCTCTGCCCTATGTATAGGGCATGTTCAGGTGTTTTAGCACCATTTGTTGTAAAAGACTTTACTTACACCATTGAATTATTTTTAGGTCTTTGTAGAAAATCAGTCAACTGTTTATTGGTAGGCCTATTTAGACGTGTGATAAGCATCTTGAACTTAACATGTCAAAAACTGAATTTCCTGTTTCCTCCTAAATCTGTTCTCCTCTGTCTTCTCTTATCAANCTTTGTAGAAAATCAGTCAACTGTTTATTGGTAGGCCTATTTAGACGTGTAATAAGCATCTTGAACTTAACATGTCAAAAACTGAATTTCCTGTGTCCTCTCCTAAATCTGTTCTCCTCTGTCTTCTCTTATCAATTAATGGCAACTATCCTTTCAGTTGCTCAGGTCAAAAACCCGGGAGCCCTTTTTATTCTTCTTCTTTTTTAACCCTCCCACATCTATTCCACCAGCAAATCTTTTCAAAATACACCCAGAATGCTACTACGTTTTACCAATTATACTGTTATACCTTGGTCCAAGTCACTGTACTATGTCCCTTTTATATTATTTCAGTGATCTCCTAATTGCCTTTCTGGGTCCCACTCTTGTCATCATCCTTTGTCTGTTTTCTACATAGCAGCCAGATATGTAAGGTCATGTCACTGCCACTCAGAACCTCCAGGGGTTCCCATCTCACTCAGAAGAAAAGCCTAAGTCCTCCAAGGCCCTGTGTGATCTCAGCCATACTCGCCTTCCTGCTGTTCCCTGAATGCACTGAGCCCAGAGTCCTCCCTGGCTTTCTGGTCCCTGTCCACTCTCTTAGATCTCTGCTTAGAGAGGCTTTTCCTTAACCACCTTCTATGAAATATCAACCTTCTCTCTATTCCCTTATGCTGCTTAGAATTTCTGCATTACGCTTACTACAACTTAATAGATGATATCCTTGTGTATTGTCTGTCTCCTCCCAGAGCCTACTTAGTATAGTTCTGACCCACTTGTTTAACCTTCATACATTGTGTCCTTCTCTTCCCCACCCTGATCTCCACCTGACCAAATCCTGCCCATCTGTGGACAACAGGAAACTCGCTGGGTATTTTAGCAAGAACAGATTATTTAATAAAGTAAATCAAGTAAATGCTTACCAAGCCATTGAAAGACCTGGGGTAGTGAAGGTCAAAGAGACTGCTTTGCTTTGAGAAAATCGAAAAGTGCTAGACTCACAGGACACTGCTTCAAGTGACCCGAGCTGCTGGCAACATTAAAGTGAATGTCTCCCAGGAGCTCCCTTGGAAGCTGCTGCAGACTGATGTTTGCTGTATGCCCTTGTGCCTGCCAGCTGCTGCCAGAGATGAATAATAGTTTCTCCTTTTTGTCTTCTAAATCTTTTTCTCTCATTGGTGGAGTCTAAATCAGAACCCTTCAGACAAGGGAATCTGAGAAATATGGTGTTAGGGTTACTAGCCTCTGCTTAGAAGGGCAGGCAGGGCTGAGTATTAACAGCACAGTCTACCTCTTTGGATGCTTAGATCTGTACACACACTTCTACCTGTATTTACATTTTCAAAGACTATTTTAAACAAAGCATTTGCTTCTGTCTAACCTGTTGCAACTATTACACATATAAAGGAAGATGTATACTCTCTGTCTTTAAAAGGGAGATTGCTCTTTTGAGATCCTAAGTGTGAATGATGAAATTATATGGTTAACTACCTCCACCCCATCTTATATAAAATAGTTGGAGGAGAGGGTGAATATATATATATCAAAGCAGGGAAGACATTATAGGTAGATACAGTTTNAGGAGAGGGTGAATATATATATATATCAAAGCAGGGAAGACATTATGGGTAGATACAGTTCTCCTCATATTTATACCTGGTCACCTGGTCATAGTTGGCATTTGTAACTGTTCTTCCACTAGCTAGACCGTGTTTCTGTTGTGCTCCATCAGCACCTCACAGTACGATGCCTCCCTCCCAGGTGGGCAATCCAGTCTGTCACTGAAAAGTTTGAGGCCGTAGTGGCCCTGTTGCAGCCTCTCACTGCTGCGCGTGGGAGTACTCATGTATGCCCCAGAGGCCTCCTTGGTTCCTGGCAAAATGTTTGCTCCTGTGGTGAGGGGCTCGGAGGAGCCAGGGGATAGGCTTCACTAGCAAGAGCTGTGGAGGGTCCACTACTGTACCCTCCTCACAAGCTAACACGTTAGCCTGGCGGAGTTTCGTAGATGGTGGCAGAGGGCACGGACTCCTGGGTCAAAGACGAAGCCCAGGGACAGCTCGAGCCTCCTGTTCACCTTGATTCCTTCTCCTCCAAATGCTGGAAGGGGGACGTGCGGCTGAGCCCGGGGGAATGCTGGGTACACAGCGCTCTTACCTTGCAGCTGAGAAACTGTGAGCTTGGGAACCACCTGACCTCATAAGAGGGGTGCTTGCACACCTGCCCGAACTATAACTGGGAGGGAGACGTTACCTTTTTTTTTTTAACTTTTCAATTACAGTTAACATTCAGTGTTATTTAATATTAGTTTCCGGTGTACAGCGTAGTGGCCAGACAATTATATAATTTATGAAGTGATCCCCACCCCCCAGTAATTCTAGCACCCACCTTGCATCATACACAGTCATTACACTATTATTTATTGTATTCCCTATGCTGTACTTTACATCCCCATGATTGTTTTTGTAACTACCAATTTGTACTTATTAATTCCTTCACCTTTTTGTTTTGTAACTACCAATTTGTACTTATTAATTCCTTCACCCAGCCCTCCAACCCCCATCCCATCTGGCAACCTTCCATTTATTCCCTGTACCTATGGGTCTGTTTCTGTTTTGTTTGTTCATTTTGTTCTTTAGATTCCACATATAAGTGAAATAATATGGTATTTGTCTTTCTCTGTCTGACTTATTTCACTTAGTATAATACCTTGTAGGTTCATCCATGTTGTTGCAAGTGGTAAGATTTCATTCTTTTTTATGTTAAGTAATATTCTGTTGCGTGTATCTTCTTTATCCAGTCGTCTATTGATGGGTATTTGGGCTGCTTCCGTATCTTGGCTATTGTAAATAATGTTGCAGTGAACATAGGGGTGCATATATCTTTTTGAATTAGGTTTTTGAATTTCTTCAGGTATACCTAGAAATGGAAGTGCTGGGTCATAAGGTAGTTTCATTAATTTTTTGAGGGGCTTTCATACTGTTTTCCATAGTGGCTGCACCAATTTGCCGTCCGACCGACAGTGCACAAGGGTTCCCTTTTCTCCACATCCTCACCACTACTTGTTTTATTGATTTATTGATGGCAGCCACTCTGACAGGTGTGAGGTGGTGTCTCATTGTGGCTTTAA